TGTAAGTATCTTACTAGACCTGCAAAAGGCTTGCTCATACATGGATCTCTAGTTATCTAGCAAAATCGTAAACAGTTTGTGCAGATACATTGTAAAAATAATAAATTACTCAATACCTATGTTGTTTGTATGAATTACTTACTTTCCAAAAGTATCAACTATTGTGCTGTCCTCACGATACGTGACCATGTGAAGCTGGAGCGAACGGGAAAGAAACTCTGTAGACAAGGTTTACTTTTCTTGTTTCATAGAGAATCTCTTGCGTATGGTTCATTGCATCCATAAATACAAAATATTAAAAAAAATCACCGTAACTGCAACACTAGAAAAACTATCAACGGTTGTGCACACTGAATTGCGTACAGCGCTAGCTACTCAGATATAGCCCAAACTTAACACTTTGGAGTAGAATAAAACACTTTTATGGCCCCTAACAATGTGCTTGTGAGATTAAATAATACTTACAAAGACGAAAGTTTGCCACGGGTCAACACATGAAACAAAGATTGTTACAAAGACAAACCAAACATGAGCGCTTACTCTGCTCAACCAGGAAACTGATGTCTTACTTTGTTTTCCCTTATATTTTAGCACAACAAACAACTATAGCTTATTATCACACTGGGCTGAAGAAGGCGCTGCGGGGCCCAAACACGCTGGTCCCTTCTCTGTTAAAGGACTTTTATCAGAGTGCCTCGGATTTCACCCTGTCTTCATTTCCCATGGAAAAGGGAATCTTTGTTTTTAAATGTAACTTATTACATAGCATTTAAGAACGTGTTGCATTTTTAAACTTATAAATGATTGAATTATGTCTTTAAACTTGTAAACATGACACCTATATTACAAATAATCTTATTTGCTGGTGCCACAGCATTATTTTGTTGTGGAAAAAATGTTGGAGAGTTATCAAAAAGTAATAAACAAAGAACTTGTCATAATAAAAATCTGGTTGGTTCAAATGACTTTGCTCTAAACAAAGAAAAAACGATTACATGATATTCAAAGCTAAAAAAGAAAAAAATCTTAAATAGTGTATCGATAAGACTAGACGGGGGAATTCAAAAGGGTAAAAGAAACAACATTTTTGGGAGTCATCATCGTTGAGGAAAGGAAAATTAGCCAAATCACTTGGTGTTTTACACTTTCCAAACCACTCAGCATTACTGACCTTAGATAATACAATGATTATACCGACCTCACCTATGTTGTCAACATTTGGAGACAACGTTTAAAACACATACACTGCCTATAGTTATTTTACATAAAAAAGACCAGAAGGAAAATATATCGAGATTCATCAAATCCTGTTTTTGAGTGCTTGGTGTTAAAATTGTATGTTATAGTGGATTATACTATTTATCCTACATTGTATAAGGTAAATTGCAAAACATTAGCAGCAAACCTCTAAGAGAACTTTGGAAAAAAGACAATGTCGATACAATCTGTAAGTAACTGACATCTTTAATAAAACCTAGATTCAGAACTACATTCATGGGAAGAATGGTCTCAGTGGAAAGGAATCAACTTGTGGAACTTAATAAAGACATTAAAGAGTCAAAATAAAAAATCATGGTTTTTAAGAAACAACAAAACTACTATACTCAATAAATATGAGAGTGTTACATAATAAGAAAATCTGGATTTTAATTAATGGTTTGTGTTTTGGTAAAATGTTGTACATAATGTTTAATTAATGGTTTGTGTTTTGGTAAAATGTTGTACATAATGTTTAATTAATGGTTTGTGTTTTGGTAAAATGTTGTACATAATGTTTAATTAATGGTTTGTGTTTTGTTAAAATGTTGTACATAATGTTTAAGGTATGTAATATGTTGTTTAATCAGTCTTTAAGATGACTATTTATGGTAACGAGTGTCACTTGTATATCTGAGAGATGTACGCCTTTAAATCATTTGATCTCGAGTAAAAAAGAAAACCTATACCAAGGACCCTAGTTTCACATCTACCTACTCTGTTTCAAACTGTGTACATATATGTATCTAGGGTTCTTATTTTTATTGTATTGGACAATTAAATTGATATAGAGACTGCTACCTTATGATTAGGGTTAGGATTATAACGCATTAATTACGATTGATAAACGCCACTAAAAATATATGTGTTTTTGCTCCACGGAACCTTCGTCATCAGGTGAGTTTCAGACGGATCGTTCATACTGGTGTACCAGTTGGAACCCTGCGCCCATCTCCGTGAAAAAATAACAACTATCCCCCTATTGTTTTAGTGCAACACTCAGGACCACATGATAAGGCTATCACACACACGCACACCTAAGTGTCGCTCTTTCAGAGTTCGGGTGCAGTACCACTTGTTGCAGAAAAATAAAAAAACACCTATACAATACAATACAATTTTGTCTTGTATAGCCCTAAATCACAACTGGCGTCATCTCAGAGGACTTACCAAAAAACTACTGAAAATCACCAACACAGATCGGAGAATCAACAGTTAAAACACATAAAGAATATAGACCACATGCCCATACATGTTGTAGAATATTAAAGTGTCCTGGATCATCACCACAGTCCTTCTAGTTTCTCACTAACTGTGCAACAAACCCATCCTGCATCAGCAAGGAAAAACTCATATGAAAAAAGTGCGAAACCTCAGGGAGACCCATAGTTTGAGAAAGGGATCTGCTTCACTCAAGTGTTACCTATTGGAAAATAGGGCGCCATACCACCTTTTCATCACATGGTACTACATGTATCACCCTGATTGGACGTGATCACCCTCCAACCCCTTCGTCATGATTCGCTGTTAGTACACCCTCCCAACCCCTTCATCCTCCCACCCCTTCGTTATGTTTGCTATAGGTTGACAGGTCTGGGGCAGGTCCTCCGTGTAGATTAATTAGTTATTGACGTGTCTTCACTAACTAGGCCATCACTGTTTGTTTTTAGAATAAGCTCGGTGTGACCCTACACATGTGTTACGCTAAACGCTGCTCAATAAATCACTTTTAGACAACTGTGAACCACACTTACAGACCAGGCAGAGGCTAACTCATTAAACATTCAAAAGTGACACCTCTTTGAAAAATACAGTGCAGTAACACTTTTCACCACTTGCTCAATAGCGCCGTCCCTATTCTGGGGAGTTCAGGGTGCAGTACCACCTTTTCACCACTTGCTCAATACTGCCGTCAATTATATCTACTGACTGCCTACGTCATCGCCATGATACCAGGCCTACGCCTTCCTCAGCCTCACAAAAGTGTCATCAACTCCCTCCCACCCGCTGATCAAGCCAGCGCTGAAAACCTGGACACCGCAAACCAAACCGCCTTTGAACCCGCAACCACCTCCACCTCAGGATTTCTTCACTCACACCCACCTTGTCCTGTTTCCACCACCAGTGTCTAGACCCCGGGGGATCAGGATCTGCACTCGAGCACAGATCCTCACAGAGAAAGTGACTCTAATAAACTACAAACAAGTATCTATTGCAATGAATTTTTATAATCTGTAATTCTGTAAATCTCCAACACCATCCAAAATTATTACCATCCAAACTCCGCTCAGAAAGGCCTGGGAAGAGTGTTCTTGCCGCAGGGGAGAGAGATCGCTAACCACTGGGCAAACACAGCTGCCAATCGTGTCCATTGTCGTCAACCAAGAATCAATCAATTACAAGCAGTAAAAAAAACAAACGATTGTGGATTTGGATCTATTGGACACAGATATGACATGGTTCTGTAGAATAATCCATAAACTACACACATACATCCGTACATAAATCCGAGATCTAACCTAAATCTCCATTATTATTGAGCGTATCATTCTAAATAGCCTATTTACGACACACAGATCAGATTGTGGCGATTCCCTTCTTGCACGGGCAGCCTCCATTTTGGGATCATGTGACGCAGAGTTCACGTCCGGACACTGGGGCAGTTTCTTTACAGACAGCTCTGAGCTTGTATTGATGGATTTGGTGCAACAACTACAGAATCAATCGGTTTCGGGATCAGTTCTGAAACATGAGGCTCTATTCTAACTGTGCAATCAAACGCCAATGCAAGCAAATCAGTAGATAGATAGATAGATACAGATAGATAGAGAGATAGAGAGATACATAGATAGATAGATAAATAGACAGACGGACAGATAGACAGCAGAAACACATGCATTCATACAAACAAATAAATAGATATTTCTATTTAAGATGAGGAGGTATCAGACCAGTATTTCTTAAAAACAATCCCTGTCTTTTGTCCCAACAGAAAGGAACTTGTAAGGACAAAACAGACCACAACATGTTGCATTTATCTCACAAGAAACATTGAGAAATGGGGCTGCACAATATTGGAAATTAGAGCTATATTTGATATGACTGAAGTATTGCAATAACAATAATATTGCGATATTTTTTTTCACCTAAAATTGCAATCTGCATTGAAACGCAAGAGACAAACATTAATGACATTCAAATGCACATATTTATTTGTTTGTTGTATTTTTTGAATGTTGATGTGTCTGTCTGTTTTGTTTTCTTTAATTCAGAAAAACAAAAGAAATACATTTTTTCAATAGGGATATTGCACGCACCATATGTCATGCAGCCCTAGTAAGAAATGTATTATTTTTCAGACTTAAAGAGACCTGTAAGATGCTATTAATTCTCTAGACTGAGAGCTGATTGGCTGAGGGTAATGCATGCTTTTTCACTTTTATCTGAAAAAGTTGATCTAAAATTGTGACTGAGGAACATGAGGATTAGCTGGATTAGATTCAGATTCAGTTTTCCATCCTTATTTTAACTGTGTTTCAACTGTTCTTAAATGCACTTTTTACTTGATATGTAAGGCGACCTTGAGTGTCATGAAAATATGTATTATTATTGTTATTATTGTTATTATTAAAATGTATTATACAGTCATTTTGCCATTACAATAAAACCACATTGAAATACATGTATGTTCTTTTGTGGTTTGAATATTAGGAACTCCAGCTTTAAACTACTATTAGACAACCATGATCCAACTGGACTCAAACCTGAAATTAAGCAATAAACAAAGTGATCTTATTTCTCTCCTCTCTCCCAGATTCTTCAGCTCAGTCATGTCCTGTTTGTTCCCTGCTTCAGAAACATCATCTCAGAAACTCGCCCTAAGAGCATCCTTCATATTCCTACTGCACCTCAACCTCATCCCGTCCGCGCGCTCTGATTGGCCGCTGCGCCTCCTGTGGGCGGGACTAAAGACAATAGAGCAGAGAGGATCTGTCCCGGGGAAAGTGACCGTCACATCATCCGAGGCGCAGGCGACTAGTCCGGGCTTCTCCCACCTCTCCATCCCCCTGACATCACCCATGTCCCGAGTCCGACCTGCGTAGCAACAAAAGGCGTTTATGGGAAGCGGTGCATGCGGCCAATTCTTCAAGGTAAGGATTTAAGACACGCCGCTGTTTCCAATGCTACTGCTGTTTGAATGCGTTTCTTTCCCCAAACCGTTGTTAATATTCATGCATTTTGCCTTAAAAAAAAAAAAAAAAGACATGTTCCCTTATGTCATTACATAGAATTACAATTACGTTGTTTTTGGCATCGCTTTCGCTTTTTTTTTGGTTTTTGCACGGGAATAGAGAAAGGGGGAGCCATCATGCACAATTGAAGCATATTACAGATTTGCAATACGCGGAAATTGGTTGGCAATTTGCATGGGAACACACGCACGCGCGCACATGCACACGCACGCACACTCGTATACTCACACACACAGATAGAAACACATAGAAATACGCACACACACACACACACACACACATAGAGACACATAGAAATACGCACACACACACGCACGCACACGCACACATGCACACTCATTTGTGCTGACAAATCTATGACCAGAACATTTACAGCTCGCGCGTGCACAAACGTTCCATTGATTGCACATCCATCAATCAACGTCCGTGTCTATATGTGCTGGATTCTGATCTATCTCGTCTATTCTCTTTGTTTTCGCGCCTGCGCAGGGGAAACGCAAGGTGCAGAGCTGTGAAAAGCGTCAATGTATGTTTGTGTGTGTGTGTGTGTGTGTGTGTGTGTGTGTGTGTGTGTGTGTGTGTGTGTGTGTGTGTGGTATATGACATTGTTCACACCAGAACTCGTGCGTAATGCGCTTTGTGTCTGCAGCGCCCGTGCACTTGTGTGTGTATTGCGTGTTTTTAGTGCTGCTGAGAGGAGAGAGGGAGACATGGATGGAGACTTTAGGGGTGAGGAAGAATGGATAGAGTCCCTGATTTGGCACAGGGCAGCGGGATGTGTCTTCACGTCAGCAGCGGCGCTATAGATTGCTTTGGAAGTCTGTCACAGTCATTATAGCTAAGGAGGGGATGGAAGCTGGAGTCATATATTGGTGTACATGAGTTCAATCTGGTGGTATTGGCCAATTTCTTCTGCGGTTCAATGGATATTTTTTGCCTTTTTGTCCATTCTGGTTGTTCTTTGTTAAGATAATCCTCATTTAGAACTATAGAAATGCTTTAGTGCTATTACCGACCTATAGGTCTGGTTTTGAGGTGGTGGTTCTCGGAAAGCCATTTCTTTAAGGTACGATGGGACTTGATGTGGAAAGTTATTGCAGATTTAGTTCATGGCATTGCCCAGTATGAGTGTAGTGTGTATGTGGATGGTTGGTGATGGTCGGAGGGGCGATGGAGCTGCCTCGCTTCTGTCAGTGTGCCCCAGGGCAGCTGTGGATCATGATGGAGTGAATTAATTATGAAATGTCAAGTGTCCAAAGTGCTGTATAAAAACAATGCATTACTATTTTTATCCGTTTACTTTGTGTATAGCCCTAAATCACAACAACAGTCTTCTTGGAGGATTTTACAAGGTTGTCGCCTGCTCAACAGCAGATCAGAGAATCAAACAGTTTGATGCAGGAAATGCAATTATAGCAAAGACATTGGCGCCTTAGTCCATAAAGGGCAGATGACAAATGTCCAGAATTGTTAATAAATGTCCATAAATGTCCCGTACCGTCACTGTCCTCAGACCCTCCTGCATTGGCAAGGATTGTAGATCCAGGACTTAGGCTGCAGATCCAGGATTGTGACTGTAGATCCAGGACAGAGGCTGTAGACCCAGGACTGAGGCTGTAGACCCAGGACTGAGACTATAGATCCAGGGTGGAGGCTGTAGATCCAGGACTGAAGCTGTAGATCCAGGACTGAGGCTGTAGACCCAGGACTGAAGCTGTAGACCCAGGATATAGGCTGTAAATCCAGGACTGAGGTGGCTCCCAGGCGGCGAGGGGGGTTCAGCCCACGAGTCTGGGCCGGGGGAGACCAGTACACAAAGGCTATCAATCCACTCAGACTAATTTTCATCCTAAATCCTGTTGCATTTGTCGGTCTCCCCCTGGTTCTCCGGTTTCCTCTACCACTAAAATCACCCTTGTGCCACTAACCATTGTGCGACCGGCTCTCCTCTTCACAGAGCTGACTTGTCACATATAAAACCTCTTCTCAGCGTTTCAGAGCAGCAGAGGGAGAGAATGTGAGATTTATTTTATTTATTTATTGATTTATTTGATAGGGACAAGTGAACACAATCAACATGTGAAACACTACAACATTTATAGCCAAGGCTAGTTTGCAATGTCCGTCCCTAGGAGGGCTTTTAACACAATTAAAACACATTATACATTATAAAATTCACATTATATAAAAGCAGATGTTCTCCAACTCATTGATGCTCACACACCTGGTTTGTTTTAAGAAATCGCTTTAGTTCATGTTTAAAACCAGCCCAGTCAGAGTTCAGTTTTAGCTGAGGGCTTAAAGAGTTCCAGAGCTTTGCCCCCTGGACCGAGAAGACCGACTGTCCGAATGTGGTTCTCCTGAGGGGCACTTTCACATTCCCGTTAGAGGAGCCCCGTGTGACGGATCTCAGAGGAACTAAGAGAGCACTCAGGACAGCAGGGGCTCGACTGTGCAAACATTTGTACAATGCAATACAATGTAGATTGAAGCAGCCAAGTGTTGTTTGGAGATTGTGGGTGAATTCCATCTTGAAACAGAAGAAAAACTCGACGGTTAAAGTTAAAAAGCCTTTGTTTGAAAATGGCTCGTTTAAATTATGGTGCTTTTCGTTTATTGAATTCAAAATCTTGTTTTCTGCATTTTTCAGTCTATGTGAGGTTCAAAAAGCGATACGTTTTTTAGTCATACACTGAAGCAGAAGAAAACATTATATTGTTTTCATTTCTTAAACATGAAAAAATAGTAACTTTAACTGGAAACTTACATGGATCTAAAGTAAGTGTAGATGTTTTTAAGAATACAAGATTATTACATGACTGTATGAAAAGACTTTCTCAGGTTTAGACGTGGTTTAGACCAAACCTGAATTCGACCTTGTTTGGACCTCATTTAGACCTTCAGACCTAGTTCAGACCTAGTTTAGACCTTGTTCAGACCTGGTTCAGACCTGAATTAGACCTGGTTTATGAATGAGACCTCACTTTGACCTGAATTAGACCAGGTCCAGACCTGGTTTAGACATAGTTCAGGCCTAGTTCAGATCTGGTTCGGACCTGGTTTGGACCTGGTTTAGACGTGGTTCAGACATGGTTCAGACCTGGATCAGACCTGGTTTAGACCTGGGTAATTTATCCAGCTTAATTAATCTAAGAATAACATATTGTAACTTAACTATAAAAAAACAACTCTCCCTTAACGTGGTCATAAACTCAGACTGTGGAAGCGTCCTGTTGTGAAACGTGACCGGCGCCGGCAGAGACCCGGGATCTGTCGGTATCGGACTAAAAGTGAGTCTTGCCTTCAGCTCAAAACTCTCTGTCAGAAGTGGTTTTTCGCAGCTTCCTCCGAGTCTCCAGGGTTTTCGCTCGCACTCGTCATCTCCGAGAGCAGATGTGAGCCGACAGCAGACGGCCTCACGCTGCACTCGCTTTTTCAAAGACTTATTTTACCGCAGAGATCCAGCTCGTTCTGCTCAACCCAACGCTAGAGAGACACTGCAGGAGCGAGGGCAGGTTTAAACTAGAGGTCGACCTTTGTGATTGGCCAGATCTCATCCCGATAATTAGTAGTCATGGAGACAGTAGTAAGTAAGAAGTCATTAGGGGAGGGATTAAATAAGTGTTATGTTAGTATTATTATTCTTTTTGTTTGTTTTTTAAATGTACCTTATATGATTGTGAATGATTATATGATGATGATGTGATGAAAAATAAAAAATAGCTTAAAAACAATACAATAAGGGTAAAAAAATGGATGGATGAAAAAAATACAATAGAGCTGTATTTATTTTCAGTAAAAGTGAAAATTCTGGCAAGCCATCCATCCATTTTCTTCCCCTTAATCCATTTCTGGGTCAGGGGGGTGGCAGTCAGAGCTGCACCCAGTACACATAGCACCAGCCCCTCACTGATCCTCTGCAGGTGGTGAGTCCACAGGAGCTGAGATCTTTCAGCAGGGGCTTCAGGCAAAGTGGGGTTAAGTGTCTTGCCCAAGGACACAACGACAGCAGACATCAGCAGGAGTCGTGAAGTAGGTCTCATGGTGGGCTCGAACCCACAACCTTCAGGCCCAAAGGCCAATGCTCTACCAACTGAGCCACTGTCCAAAATTCTGGCGTGCAAACATTGAATCATGCAAACTCTCTTTTTTTATTTTGGAAAATATGAAATTATGTAGCCAAACAAATAGACAAAAATAACAGCTCTGATTGTATAGACCAGGCATGTGTGGAATTGTATGTGGTTCATCAAGGTGACAGATGACAATTTTATCCAAAAGTGTTGTTTTCAGTAGATTTTTGACCGGAAACTAGAAAAAAATAAACTAGGATCATTATCAAATCGCATTGTTAGTGGCCACAATGGCAATGGATGCAGCTCTGTAAAAAATATATATATATATTAGGGTAAAATTCATTGTTTTCAGCACAGAATGAGCCCTCCTGTTTTCCATCACAGATCTTTGACATTTTCCCTCTCTTTGTTGCACTTGCCTCTGGAACATGGCGTCTCTCCTGAAGTCAAAGTCCCACGTTTCAGAACTGCAGTAAATGTCAATACTGTACAGAGATCCTTTTTCTTTTTACAGTCCAACCGATAAAGTCACTCTTTTTTTTTTCTTTTTACAGACAAATAGAAAAAATAACTACCACTCTAATCTTACAGCCACAAAAATAAACAACACTATAAAACAGGGAAAGGCGTGGTCACATTTAGAGTTTAGATTCTTGGTCAGAACCCGAGTCCCCATGTGTCCGAGTGGGTTCAGGTCTCATTCACCGACCCAGTCTAGTGTTGGACTGGGTCGATTTTAAGACTTCAAGCCTTCTCCTGCAGAGAGGACAGGCT